AATTGATTTCACGACCATTGCTTGTGAGCAGATTCTCCACTGCGCTTTCCCACTTCATAGCATCTTTCAGGAGCTCGTTTCAGAAACGAACGTCGGATAACGAAAGCAGTCTTTGAACTCGGCACATAGGTACACGTCTCCTATATGACCCAACTGATCGGATAACCTTCCATTGTAGAATAGAAGGTCATATTTGCCATTTGAGGGGAGGGAGTGTGTAGATGGAAGCAGCGGAATATACAGAAATCGGAAGTTTGGCTCCAAACGTAAAAGTTGTGGTGGATTTTGGAAAGAAGTACATGACTCAACATCGAGCTCTCTATCTTTGACCGTTTTGACATACACTGGCAACTGAATGCATACAATTTGGGTTTGTTTGTTTTTGCATCGTTTGAAAATGGGAGTAACGCAACATACTAACGCAGGAATGAAAATGACCAAGAAACACCTACAAACTTACCCGATTTGTAAAGGCTTATAGATGCCGAAGGAACGTGGCCTGAAGAATTTTTAATTGCTCCGTTAACTTCTTTTAAGAAATCCACTAGAATTGACCCTCTATGGGGAAAGGGAATCCGTAGTGTGCCAGTTACGTCGCTAAAAGGGTAAACGAGAAGGCGAACGAGAAACTCAATAGATTGTTCATCCTACTGCTTAATTGATTGTTCATCCTACTGCTTACGAAAGCCACTCTTCTGAGTTTGGCTGCGAAATTTGCTAAGCGTAAGTATGATATAGAGGAGCTTCAAAATATTGGGTTGATGCATAATTATTGCGGATTTTTTTCGCGCCTTTCTTTTTTCGAAAATGGCTGACGTTTATTATTTGTTCATGAAAATATTCTTCTCTCTTTCATTAACAAAAATGCTTATCGAAAATCATCTTCATTCGCCATATATGCTCTACCACTTCGAGAAAGGTTGGAAGGCGGCAGAGTCATTTCGCGATCTCAACGAACTTTTCGGCGAGGGAACAATTAGCAAAAGCCAAGTTGAAAGATGGTTCAAGAGGTTCAAAACGCCATATTTACCGACCGAAGCTCCTACAGACTACCACTTCAATCAGTCGTTGAAAAACTGGCAAACGAACAAAATTTACGACGAGCTGGATGACTTGGTGGCCGTTAGAGCGTGGATCGTTCCAAGAATCGTGACTTCTTCCACCCGTGGAATCGACCTACTGCCAAGCAAATGGGAAGCGTTCTTGAAGGACTGTGTCTACGCTCCGGATAATCATTTAAACGTTTTTGTTAAATACTTTTATCGTTTTTCTGAATAAAATTTGGTAAAAAAAAGCCGCAATAATTGCGCACTGTTATGACATTTCGGTGCGCATTTGGTATCTCCAATGACTCGTAGGGTCATTGATGTAGTATAACTTCGAGCTTTCACCCCACCAAAGGAAACGTTGAGCCAATCTCCTGATAGATGGAATACCTGGCTTGGCTGTATGGGAACTCCTCGTACAAACATACATTTCGTACCGAAAGCGCGCCGAAGCGCACTGAACACCCGTTGGAGAACGTTCTCTATAGATTCAAGAGATCCGCTCCGCAATCACAAACGATAAGTAAAATGGAGATCAGGATCCCGGAAACAACTCGCATACCACACCTGATCGTCTCGAAACGGGTATGTTAAGTAGGTCAGGTACATTGCGCTATTACTTATAAACTTGGTCGCTGCCATTCGCTACCGTCCTGCTGAAAGGGCAAACAGTTCGTCTATGTCCTTATTTATTCTTATCGTTCTCATGACCATCATCAAAGGCAAAAGTGAGATTCTCACAAGAGAGGAGAGGAAAATCATGCTGATTTTCATCTAATTTTCATCATTATCTCTTTGAAAGCTAATTTATCCCAATCCATGAGAATTTGCATTAATTATGTGTATAATCTTTCCCACACGAAAAAGTAATATGGTAAAGGTGATTCGCTCCCATTTCCTCATGTGACCCTAATTCACTGATGAGACCACGCAAAGCCGCTGCAGGCGAACTTTACCTTTCCTTACCCATACTTGTTTTCACTCTTTTGATAGTCCGGCACTTTCTATAGCTCCCCTTTTTCACTCACTTACTCTTAATCATGTACTGCTGTGACTGCTTCGAGCAGGGGGCCCAAGAGGGTCAACCGTGCGTATGGGCATCTCAAAAGAGAGGTTAGCTTCGAAATTTTTGGAGAAGGAGGAAGAAGAGTGGACTTAGCCTTTTCTGTGTTCACGATGGTGGCAAGATATGTCGTGATTGAGATTTTCAGAGGGAGTCGTGAATGGGGGAGATTGGAGGTGTTGTGCAGTAATGAAGGGTGATCGTTCGTGGCGGTTTCTTTTACAACATCGACGAAATTTAGGAAGCACGCATGAATGGGCAAAATTAGGGCTATTATTAATTCCCTAAACAAATTTACCCTCGTCACGACTGACCGATCCGGTACTGTTCTCAGCCGCTGCAATTAAGGTCGCTTTGTGATTGGTATCGCAGCGTTCTCTTTGCAGGGTCCATGCGTTCGCACCCCATCCACGTCAATCCAGCCTATTCCTAATACGTCATCTTGATGAAGAGGGTTCCATAACGATTTCTGAGTACCTCGCATCATCCACCGAGCTAGCAAGCCAACATTGCTTCATTGGAAGAAATGACGTCGCTCCCACAGGCATAGGGATAGCTAGGATATAACTCTCCACAAGGGTGGAAAATATGTTGCCTTGAGGTTCAAAGTGCATAGCAGAGAGCTGGAATATTGCCACTCCGCGAAATACCGTAGTCGTTGCTCGCGATATGTGTCTGAGTTTCTCACTTCCCTTGAACTCTCTTGTCTCTGGCCGCAGCAGCCAGTGAGCTCCCATCATGGGCTCGCCAATGGCCCGAAATGGAGACCCCTACTCCCAGCGTTTTCGACAAAGTCCTTTCTTTTCATAAATTACCGCTCTATTTTGTAATTATAATTATGATATCATCTATTAATTAATGACGAGGTGACGTTCGTGTGGTATGGGGTTGAAAAGTGCTTTTTACAAACTTTCATTGAGATTTTTTCAGATATGCTGCTTCCTTGTGTCTTTGGCTTTTCGCCTGCAGTCAAGCAATCTTCTTCGGTGGAGGCGGCGGTGGAGGGCAAAGCAGCTGTTGTTGCAGTTGCGGAACTCCACAACCAGCAAGTTGTGGATGCGGGGTTCAGGTAAGGGAAAACAGAAAGCCGATAAATATAATCAGTTAATCACAATAAAGGTCCAAATAGTTATAATAAATTGGTAAGAAGGTCGAAAGCTCAGCTACTATGAAGGGGGCAGTTCAAATACTCTTTGAAAGCTTTTCAGGCGGTTTTTTCGCATGAACTGGCTTAGTCGTTCAAATTTGATTCAACCATCGGGGTTTTAACAGTTTGTTAATTGTGGATTCTAAGAGTACGCAAACAGTTTTTCGTAATACGGCAAGTGTCAATTCTAGTTTTTATCTCCCTCGATGTATTTATATATTGTCGTATGATGGGCAGCAAAGTCACTCACACGGGACTCAATCAGAATAAACTTCTCGAAGCCGGTGGTTCGCCTGGGCTGCATCAAAGTGTTTTATTGGAAATATTCATAAGCTGCTCCCCCCTCTTCCCCATAGCAGACAGGTCTCTCCCACTCACGCAACCGAGCTTTGGTGAATTACGACGCCATCTGCCAATAGGCCGTGAGCCTCAATGAGGCTTACTGTATCTTCCAACTGAAGTGCTCCATGACTTCTTTCAATCGGGATTGACTGCGGATTCATTAGTGCAGTAGGGCTGTCACTGTGCAACCCGTTTTTCGCTGAGTTGCGATATGGTCCTACCATTGGACGACAGATGCGTTATTTTGCGAGTAGCGCGGGGGCTCGTGGAGTCACGACTCTTTATGTTGAGCGCATCTCGCTCCAGGCGATGGGCGAAATTGCCCGGTTTTATTTAGTTTTTTGACTTTAGGCCAATATACAAATATAGCTACGGATTTGGCTGTTCATACGACATGTTAGAAGGATGTTGGGGGGTTTTGTTTGGGGGCTAAAATAATTTAAGGGTGGGTTTTAAAAAATCGAAGTTTATATGTGGCGATGTACATATTCAACTTCTTTTGTGTTCAAGGCGATGAAAGATCTGGATAAATTCCTGACAGTAGTGAATTTGTTAGGTCTAATTAACGCAAAACCCCAGTTATTTTCTGCCTAGCTAATGATCCCACATCTGAATTCTTTGGTGAATTAGTCCTATCAAACTATTCTGTGAACCGATGGCTATTCCCTAGAGGTAATAAGCTTGGCTAATGGATCGCTAAGGAATTGTCAAAATTCTTTCAATGCCACGAAGTAAAAAGCTTAGGGTAGCATCATGGAGTGGCATTGGCACACGCGGTGCGTGATTTGGCGCCCCGGTAGAGCATGTCGCCATAGGTAATGGGTTTAGATATACGTCGAGGACTCGGGTGAATCGAAGGGTGCCGTTGGTCCCGGGAGAAATCTTTCTGAAGCATTCCGTGTATTAGGGCTGTTACAAGTTTTTTTTTTTTAGTCTGATTGCGATTTTGCTTTCCATTACTTGTTTTGCATCCCACTTGGTCCTGTACAGTGGGGGCGCATGAGAAGCGACTGAAGTTCAAAGATTTTTCCTCACCAACCGCCGTTTCGCCTCACGAAGAGGAAGGGGTCTTGATTGTTATCAAATTAGGCCAAAATAGGTCCTGGTCGTGTCGTATAAATTTTCGTTTTCAGATTTTGCCTTCCTGCATGCATTTTTTTAGAAAGAAGTCGGAAGGGTTCGGGTTAATGTGATTTTCCAGGTTTTACTCTTTACTAGGGCATTCTTCCCTTATATTTTTTCCAATTATTCTCGGAATCATTTGCATAAATAATGGCGATTTTTTAGGACTTCGTTCAGATAAATTGTTTTTCATGTGGCGCTGCCTCCAGGGCCGTGGCCAGATATGGTGTTCAAAGGGGTTTTTGCCTCTCTCCCTACGGCCATTCTGCCTAAGCCTAACAGGTGGTATTGGTTGCAGTTCCTGCACTGGAAGCTCATGTGGTCCACCTGACGCGCTGGGAAGTAGGTTTGTGCCGCGCGCAGCAGCAGCTTGCACTGGAAGCAGTTGCGGCGGAGGCGGCTCGTCTTGCACTGGAAGTGGATGCGGCGGAGGCGGCTCGTCTTGCAGTGGAAGTGGATGCGGAGGAGGAGGAGGATCGTCCTGCACTGGAAGTGGATGTGGAGGAGGCGGTGGAGGATGCCGCGGAAGCGACTGCGGTGGAGGTGAGAAACTTTGCCGGTTTCCCAACGTTTAGCATACTTGAGATGACTTTCGCAATGCAAGATAGCACTAAGCTGCGTTATCAAAGCAAAACACAGCAGAACTTCAATATGCCGACAAAAATTAGGTTCATGAAATCGTGAAAGGATTTGCGCTAAACGCATGAACTTTATCATCTTTCTGAAGGAGATCATGTTATGAAGAGACAAATGCAACCATTTTAGGGTATGCTGCGGCTTGTTCTATTTTAGCAACTGCTGCTTTTCGGCGCCGCAATTCGTGATGTGAATAATACCACAAAAGAAGCTGTGTTATGAGCAAGAAACTCGCATCAGCTGAGAATCGAACCCGAACCACCTCCCCCTTTCCCAATGCAGCTTCAAATGGTATAATTACCATAGTTTATCAGGACACCATTCGAGATCATCAGTTCTCGGCGATTTTCGTTCCGTTGAGAAATCCACGCTCAACGGAACGAACATCATTGAATGCTCCAGGGACGTGTACCTAGGGAATCCCACGGATCGTGATACAGTAAAGGTCATAGGATAAAACAATATCATAAAAGTCTAGCTCCAGAGCCCAAGTGGAAGGAGAAGTGCGACATGGGGAGCGTTAACACGTTGACGACCGTGTGTGTATGATGCCACACCACACTTTCGCATAAAACCGACTAGTTTTTCATTATTTGTTTTGCGTTTCTCCCTGTTCCACAGCGGTTCATGTACATTATTAGATCCCAAAAGCATTTTCTCATTACTGATAATGAAAACGCTGAAGGATTTAATGCCTATTGATGAGAGAATACGTAATAATGTGAACGCAGTTGCGCGACATAACGGCCGCTCGTCAACGTGGTAGAACATCATACGAGTAGTGAAGAAGACGAAGAACATCCGGCTCCGTGCCCACCTCTTCGATTCCGCTGTCCTTCCTGCCCTAACCTACGCCTCAGAGACTTGGACTCTGCGCAGGCAGGACGAGCATGCGGTCAGCGTTATCCAACGCGCTGTCGAGAGGACGATGCTAGGAGTAACCCTATACACGCAAGTGCAGAGGGGAATCCGGAGTGCCGAACTACGCCAACGATCGAAGATCAGGGACGCTGCCGTTTTCGCCAAGGAATCGAAGATAAGGTGGGCCGGACACGTCATGCGATTTTGCGATGACCGTTGGACCAGAGCGGTTACCGACTGGATCCCTCGGGACGTCAAACGAACACCTGGACGACCGCCGGCCCGATGGTCAGACTTCTTCACGAAAGCTCTGAACGAAAGGAATGAAGGACACCGTGTCCCTCGAGCGAGGAGGGTCCACTGGACAACTCTTGCACGCGACAGGGACGAATGGAGACGTTCCTCAAAGCCAATCGATGATAAACTCGGACGACATTCGTGATGCGGTGCATCAAGACACTATACATACATAGAGAAATGAATAATGCAGGCTATTGCCATGATAGCACTCCTGCCCAGTAAGTACAAGGTCCGCGTTCGATCCTGGCTAGGCGCAGTGTTTTGCCCATAACTCAGCACTCTAGTGACAACTTATGAAACTCTACATTCCGACTATCTTCAGTGAAACTCAGTCGATACTTCGCTAATAGAGAAATAGTGGCAGCAATCAAGACTTTTACTAAAAAACTTACTGCGTGGACATAATGTGCGACACAACGATCACCATTCGCTGGATGGGTAAACGTCCGCTCACATCTGTCAGAGGTTAAATACCGATCCGACTCTGTCACCCAGCTCTCACTGCTAGGATAAAATAACCTACGCCTCAGAGACTTGGACTCTGCGCAGGCAGGACGAGCATATCCAACGCGCTGTCGAGAGGACGATGCTAGGAGTAACCCTATACACGCAAGTGCAGAGGGGAATCCGGAGTTCCGAACTACGCCAACGATCGAAGATCAGGGACGCTGCCGTTTTCGCCAAGGAATCGAAGATAAGGTGGGCCGGACACGTCATGCGATTTTGCGATGACCGTTGGACCAGAGCGGTTACCGACTGGATCCCTCGGGACGTCAAACGAACACCTGGACGACCGCCGGCCCGATGGTCAGACTTCACGAAAGCTCTGAACGAAAGGAATGAAGGACTTCGTGTCCCTCGAGCGAGGAGGGTCCACTGGACAACTCTTGCACGCGACAGGGACGAATGGAGACGTTGCTGGCGCCCGCTCGAGCAATTCGATGATCAACGGGACGACAGGTGATACAGGTGATCAAGACACCACATGCATACAAAAATGGACATGAGGCATGGTCCAAGTGGCGCCATGGTAGTACTCCTGTTCACAAGGTTCGGGTTTGATCGTGGCTGGGCGCAGTATTTCGCCCACAACTCATTGTCACCACTCTTGGGACAACCTGAATTTCTACATTCAGACATGGTGTTTTAGTGAAGACTCAGTCGATATCGCAGAAAGCAAATTAGTGACAGAAACAAACATTCTAACGAATCATTTGGTGTGAGCTTATCCGACAACATAAATCCACCGTCGTGTGTGACGGAGGCTGACGTGCACATCCGTAAGTGAGGATACCGATTCGGCTTTGTCACCTGCTTCACCTTCTTCACCTTGTTACGTATTGAAATCTTGTAAGGCCTCCGATCATCAAGGTTGCCACTAACTTTGCTATTGAATTTGCTATCAGGAACAAAATAAGGTCCAGAGAAGATAGGAAGCATTAAATTCATTTTCCGAAATTTCTTTTTTGCTCGAAGAATGCACCATAAAGTTGCTTGTGAAAACCGAAGGAATGTCAAGCTTTTCAGGAGGAGGTGGAGGAGGATATGCGACATCTTCTGGAGGAGGTGGTGGCTATGCACAATCTGGCGGCGGATACGGTGGCAGCTACGCAGCGCCAACATACTACGGAGGAGGTGAGCGGCTCGGTAGTTCCAGTCGACGTTACCTTTACATTTTTTACAACCTTGATGTCAGCGACAGAAGAAGGGCTTTGGCTAGATTTAGTGAGCGATGAATCATTGATTTTCAGGTGGTGGCGCATACCCCGCAGGTGGAGGCGGTGGATATGGATATCCTTCCGGAGGAGGAGGAGGAGCTTACCCAGCCGGTGGTGGTGCACCTCCATACCCAGCCGGTGGTGGTGCAGCTCCATACCCAGCCGGTGGCGGTGCAGCTCCATACTCAGCCGGCGCCGGTGCACCTCCGTACTCAGCGGGTGGTGGTTTCAGCTCTAATACAGGCATCCCAGATACAGTTCTTCCAGGGCCATCTCGACAAGAAGTCGTTTCTCCTGGTGAGATCGTTGTGCTACTTATCACGGGAAAACTCGCCCATCCCTCAATTTCAAATCTATTCTTAGGTTATACACCAGAAGGTGTTGTTGAAGAAGCACCTCAAGCCTCCAACGTTGCCTCAACTCTAAAGAAACAACGATCTGAGGTAAAATGAAAACGATATCATGCACCCACCATACAACGTGGCGGGGAGCAGGGGTCTAACAGGCGATCGTACTGGTCCATGGGCTCGAGTCACCGAGACCAATGCGATCGCTTGTCCAATTCCTGCCCACCCCTGGCCATAAAATCAACAAGAGTCACAGTGAGTTCAATCGCTGCGTTACAAGTTTCCTTTTAGGTCCAATGCGACCAACCATCCCTAAAAGTCAAATACATCATGTTGAGGGCCAAGAAGGGCCCCGGACTTGGACAAGACATATTGGAAGAGGTGGAAGAGGTGAGTCTCCGCAAAGAAGTTTGACGGTCCATCTACTCCCTTCAAGCGGAATATTTCAATTAATTGCTTAGGTTGATCATCCACTACCAGTTGAAGCAACTGCATCTCCATTGGAAGCCAAGCAGATTGGCGAAGATATTGAACATAACGAGGCCTCTGATACGATGACGACCGTGAGTCACCCTTTTTTTT